AATCACATGATCATAGCAAAAGATACAGAAAAAGTGTTTGAAAGAATTCAGTACCTTTTCATGATAAGAAAAACAGAGCAAGAAATTTAAAAAGCATCTACAAAAACCGTTTTGCTAACATCATTGAATGGTAAAAGGCTGAATGCTTTTTCCCTAAGACTGGGGACAAGGCAAGGATGTCAGCTGTCACCACTCTCAGTCTACATCATGCTAGACGTTCCAACCAGTGCAGTACAGCAAGAAAATGGAATAAAAGACATGTAGATTATTTTATTTTTTTAAAAGATTTATTTATTTATTTGAAAGGCAGAGTTACGAAGAGGCAGAAAGAGGGAGAGTCTTCCGTCCACTGGTTCACTCACCATATGACCACAACAGCTGGAGCTGGGCCTATGTGAAGCCAGGATCCAGGAGCTGCTTCCAGGTCTCCACATGGATGCAGGGACCCAAGGACTTGGGCCCTCTTCTGCTGCCTTTCCAGGCACATTAGCAGAGAGCTGTATCAGAAGTGGAGCAGCCAGGACTGGAACTGGTGCCCACGTTGGGTGCTGGAACAGTAGGCAGAGGCTTTACCCACTACACCACAGTGCTAGCCTGAAGACATATAGATTTTTTTAAAGATTTACTTGAAATTTATTTATTTGAAAGGCGGAGTTATAGAGGCAGAGGCCGAGAAAGAGAGAGAGAAGTCTTAAATCCACTTGTTCACTCTCCAAATGGCCGCAGTGGCTGGAGCTGGGCCAGTTCGAAGCCAGAAGCCTGGATCTTCTTCTGGTTGTTGTAAACAAAACTGTGTAGCATTGGTGGAGCAACAAATGCATATGTCACTGGGACAGAACTGAGAATCCGGAAATAGCTCCACACTGATCTGCCCCAGGAATTAGAAAAAGGTGTAAGTAGAAACAGATGGAGGTAAGATAGCTCTTTGAACAGAATCGTGCTGGAGTGACTGAGTATCTATATGCAAGTAACTTGACTTTGAGCTAAACCTCATACCTACACAAATCCTAAGAAGTACTTGTGTCCCTGCCCCCCACATGAGAGACCTGGATTGAGTTCCCAGCTCCTGACTTTGGGCTGGCCCAGCCCTGGCTGATGCAGTCATTTTAGGGAGTGAACCAGTGAGTGGAAGATTTCTTTGTCTCCCTGATTTTCAAATTAATAAAATAAGCTTTTGATGTCTTAAATATCAAACTTTAAAACTTTCAGGAAAAGGTAAGCAATCTTGGGGCTCCCGGGGCTAGAGGAGGAAGCATTTTTAGACCCTCACCACACAGTCCATCCCAGGCAGTGGTGAAAAACTAAACTTCATCAGAGTGAAAGACTGCTCTGCAGAAGACCGTGTTAAGGGGGTGAAAAGATGAGCTGGGGTGGGAGCTGGGAGGAGAGGTATTTGGAAACCACATATCTGAAAAAGAACTGGAATCTAGACTGCATAGAATGAACTTTGAAAATGGAACAGCAGGGCCATTAAGTCTGGCATGTTAAGTCTGTCTGTGATGCCAGCATCCCATGTGGGTGCTGGTTCAAGTCCCGGCTGTTCCACTTTAAATGCAGCTCCGGAAAGCAGTGGAAGATGGCCCAAGTCCTTGGATCCCTGTACTCACATGGGAGACCTGGAAGGAGCTGGCTCCTGGCTTTGGCCTGACTCAGCCCCAGACATTGTGGCCATTTGGAGAGTGAACCAGTGGATGGAAGATCTCTCTTCTCTCTGTGTCTGTCATGTCATCCCCCCCGCCCCAACCACCGCCTTTTCTGGGAACTCAGCCTTTCAAATGGAATAAGTAGATCTTAAAAAAAAAAAAAATGAAAGAAAGCAACAGCAGACAAAGATCTAATTAGTAGGTAGACAAAAGACATGAAGAGACATTTCCCTGAAGAATAGAGACACATGGCAAATAAACATAGAAAAGATGTTCCACAGGATTGGCCCACAGGGAAATGGAAATGAAATCGACAGGCTCATTCCAGAGTGGCTGGAAGAAGTGGGCCATTCATTCGTTGCTGGTGGAAATGGAAAAGGCTCAATGCTCTGAAAAACATGTTCGCGTTTGTCTGAAAGACTAAACATGCAGCAGCCACATGGCCCCGCAGTTACCCAGAAGAACAAAGGCTTAGGTTTGTAGAAGCCACCCCCTACATATTCATCACGGCTTTGTTCATGATAGCCAGAGGCCAGGAAGAACCAAGATGTTATTTAGTGGGTGAATAACGTGGAGTGCTCCTCGGTAGCAAGAAGGAAGTGGCAACTTGAATGAATCCCTAGTCATGTTTGCCAAGTGAAGAAAAGCTGGTTCCCAGCAGTTGCATAGTGTGTGATTCCATTTGGGTGGCATTCTTGAAATGCAAGGCTTACAGAAATGGAGATGAAAGCCGGCGGGGGATGGGGGGAGGAAGGGAGGTATACGTGGCTCCAAAAAGACACTGGGGGAGATCCTCGTGGTGACACGGATGCCCTGTGTCTTGAGGGTACTGATATAATCTCCCCAGCTGTGAGATTATACTCTTTTATGGATGTTACCATTGAGAAACTGGGCACAGGGCACCTGAAATCTCTTTGTTTATTCCTTAGAATTCTTGTGAATCTAATTACAGATGCTCCTCAGCTTACGGTGGGGTTGTGACCCTGTTGTAAATTGAAAATATCGTGACTCCAGTGTGCACTTAACTCCACCTTGCGTACTGACCACAGATCCGCAACACTGTGTGGAGTGCTGCGTGTTTCCCCTTGAGATGAGTGTGCTGATAGGGAGCATCATGAGAGCAGATCGGACCACCTATCACTAGCTCAGGAAAAGACGTGGATTTGAAATTTGCTTTCTACTTACTGTGAATCTCTTTTGCACCCTCGTCAAAATGAAGATGTTGTAAGTTGGGCTGGCATTGTGGCACAGAAGGTTAAGCTAGCACCTGTGATGCTGGCATCCTATGTGAATGCCGTTTCCAGTTCAAGCTGCTCCACTTCTGATCCAACTCCTTGCTAATGAACTTGGGAAGGCAGCCAATGATGGGCCCTTGCCATCCATGTGGGAGACCTGGATGGAGTTCCAGGCTCCTGGCTTCAGGCTGACCGAGCCCCAGCCGTTACGACCCTTTGGAGAGTGAGCGAGCAGATGGAAGGTCTTTGTCTGTCTCTCTCTAACTCTTCCTTTCAAATAAAAAAAGAAAAAGTTGTAAGTCAAACTATCATAAGTCAACCATCTCAAAAAGTTTATATTTTTTAAAGATTTCTTGGTTAATTTGAAAGGCGGAATGACAGAGATGAGAGACAGAGAGAGAGCATGCTTTCATCTACTGGTTCACTCCCCAGATGACTGCAAAAATGTTTGCGAGTGGGTGTTTGGCCTAGCAGCTAGGATCCCAGCCCACATTGTAGTGGCTGGATTCACATTGTGGCTCCAACTCCACATCCCAGCTGCCAGCTACTGCAGAGTCGGGGAGGCAGTGGGTGATGGCTCCGGTACTTGGGTCCCTGCCACCTATGTGTGAGACCAGGGTAGAGCTCCTGGCTCCTGGCCTTAGCCCAGCCCTTTCCCAGCTGTTGTGTTTGGGAAGTGAACTAACAGATAGGACCATTTTGTCTGTTTCTCTGTCTCTTTGCTTCTCAAATAAATAAAAATTTAATTTTTTTTTCTTGCTTGCTGTGATGGCGACAAGGGGAGGGAGGAAGGGACAGTGGGAGGGGAGGCGGAATGGCTGTGGAGGAAGCAGGTGCTGCTGGGCAGGGAGTCAAAGGAAGCGGGGAGCCAAGAGAAAAAAAATAATTAATTAAAAAAGTTGTAAATAACACTCTAGACAATGTATTTGTAGGGTGCTTAGCCTGAGCACTTGAGATTCCTGCTCCAAACTCCCAAATTCCTCACACTCAGAAGCGCATAGGCTGGACTGCAGGTGTGCTGGCATCTAGCCTGTCTTCCTGGCAAGGAACGTGCTGTGGTGCTGGTTGTCTGTTAAACAGATTTGGTTCTTTCTCCCTACCCCACTTTTTATTTGAAAGGCAGAGAGAGAGATGGAGAGAGGTCTTCCATCCACTGGCTTACTCCCCAAATGCCCACAACAGCCAGGGCTGAGCTGGACTGAAGCCAGAAGCCAAGAATTCCATCCCAGTCTCCCATATGGTGGCAGAGACCCAAGTCCTTGAGCTGTCATCTGCTGCCTTCCAGGCTGTGCTTTAGCAGGAAGCGGGATCAGAAGTGGAGTAGCCAGGGCTCACCAGGCACTGTGGTAGGGGATGCCCACATCCAAAGCAGGAACTTATGTGCTGGGCCACATGCCCACCCCAGACCTGGCTGTTGATGAGGGAGTCGTGCCAAGTGCTCATGGGGCTTCCTTCTTGCCTTTCTCTTATATGTGGCTCATCCCCACGTGGCGTCTTGCCAGTGAGGCCTGAATTGCTGGGCTGATTACAGAGGAAACAGTTGGCAGAATGGGAACTTGCTTCCAGTTGGGCCCGTTGCCAACCATCCCTGTGACTCACACCTGGTGTGGTTCTGTTTCCAGGGTCTGGGACCTTTGTCCCCTTGTTGAGGCACTGCTGCTACAGCCACAGGCCCAGAAATCTCTCTGGCCTATGCAGTGTCTTGCTCTCATGAGGCCCACAGTGGGACGGGGCTCTGTGCCATCACAGGTGCCCCCAGCTCATCTCAGAGGGAAGGAGAGTGCAGCGATGGCTCGTCAGTCTTGCAGGGCCTTTGCTTCCCTTTCCCTGAACGTTAGAGCTAATCGCATGCCCCCACCCAGCTCTGGCTGTGAGGCCACTGAGTGGTACAGAGGACACTTAGGGCCTTGACCACCTCCAGGGACCTGAGGAGGAGCTGTGTGCAGGATGAGGACCAGAAAAGGGGTGCTTGTCATGTGCTTCGCCCTCCTGCACCCACTGCCCAGGAGAACCCCCTGCAGTTCCCCAGTTGTCCTCTCTGCATCCATGGACTTGGCAGAGAAGGCCTGACTGTGGTGAGATTGGTGCAGTTGGTCACTGACCTGCCCTTTCCTGGTTTCAGAGAAGCTGATGACCCCCGAGATGTTTTCAGAAATCCTCTGTGACGACCTGGATCTGAACCCACTGACGTTCGTGCCGGCCATCGCCTCCGCCATCAGACAGCAGATCGAGTCCTACCCCACGGACAGCATCCTGGAGGACCAGTCAGACCAGCGTGTCATCATCAAGGTGGGCAGCTCCTCTCCCTGCTCTGGGCACTTCCTTGCCCTGGGCTGGGGAAGTGGGGAGTGTTGTGGGGCTGTGAGGGTCCCCTGAGGCCTGGCAGAAATCTGTGCTTGGTCTGTGCTGTAGGGCAGGGCTTCTGGAAAGCCACCTTTCATGCAGCTCTTTGCGCTCCTTCCCCTCGGGGTAGGTGGGCCAACTTGTCAGAGTGAGGCATCCCATTCTGGGCAGGTCCAGGGGGTGCCACTGTGGCACTGCCGGGCACTGATCAAAGCCTGGGGTGGACAGGGGAGGTGAAGGTTGCAGGAGGTCAGAGCAGGGAAGCACTGTCACTGCCTTCCCATGGGCTGGCCTGGGCCAGCAGTGTTCTAAGGCTGAACAATGTTCTCTAGTCGTCCTCCAGTGGACACTTGAATTGCTTCCATCTCTTGGCTATTGTGAATAATGCTGTCAGCATGGGTGTGCAAATATCTGTGTGTGCCCCTGCTTTCAGTGCTTTGGGATATGTGTTCATAGCTAGAATTGCTGGATGATATGAAAACTGTGTTGTTAATATTGGAGAAACTACCAGACTTTTCCACCGCAGCTGCACCATTTTACATGCCACCAACATTGCACAGGGCTTCCAGTTTCTCCGCATACTTGCCAACACTTGTTAGTTTCTGTTGCTTTTGATACTTGTCCTAATGGGCATGAGGTGGCATCTCGTTGGCATTTCCCAATAATTAGTGGTGTTGAATATCTTTTCATGTGCTTATTATTTATTGGCTATTTGTGTGTCTTTGGAAAAACAGCTATTCAAATCCTTTGCCTGGTTTTGAATTGGATTTGTAATTTTGTTGTTGGGTTTTACAAGGTTTTTGTTTTTGTTTTTTCCTGGATATCAATCTTGTATTAGACATGTGATCTACAAATACTGTGGATTGCCTTTTTTCTCTGTTGGTGGTGTCCTTTGAGGCACAAAGGTTTTATTTTGATGCCATCCGATTTGTTTATTTTTTTCATGTGCTGCTTGTGCCTTTGGTGTCATATCCAAGAGTCTTTGCCAAATCCAAAGTCAGGAAACATGTTTTCTTCTGTGGGTTTCATGGTTTTAGTTTTTACATTTAGGTGTTTCATCCATTTTGAGCTAATTTTGGTATATAGTGTTGGATAAGGGTCCAGCATTTTTCTTCTGCACGTGGATATCCAGTTTTCCCAGCACCATTTGTGGAAGACTGTCATTTCCCTTTTGAGTAGTCTTGGCTCCTTGTTGATTGTGTGAGGGTTTATCTCTGGATTCTCTATCCTGATGTATATGTCTTTTTTTTTTTTTCTAAGATTTATTGTATTTGAAAGGCGGAGTTACAGAGCAAGAGAGAAAGAGAGATCGTCCATCCACTGGTTAACTCCTAAAATGGCCCCAGTGGACAGGGCTAAGACTGGTTGAAGCCAGGAGACCGGATCTTTTTCCAGGTCTCTGATGTGGGTGCAGGGCTGCAAGCACTTGGACCATCCTCTGCTGCTTTCCCAGGTGCATTAGCAGTGCTGGGTTGGAAGTGGAGCAGCCAGATCTCCAACCAGCACCCATATGGGATGCTGGCATCACAGGCAGAGGCTTTACCTGCTACACCACAATGCCAGCCCCTATTCTTTTTGTTATTTTAAATGGAATTCCTTCCTTCCTTCCTTCCTTCCTTCCTTCCCTCCCTCCCTCCCTCCCTCCCTCCCTCCCTCCCTCCCTCCTTCCTTCCCTCCTTCCTTCCTTCCCTCCTTCCTTCCCTCCTTCCTTCCTTTTTGTAAGATTTATTTATTTATTTGAAAGGCACAGTTACAGAGTGACAGAGGCAAGGAGGGAGGGAGAGAAAATCTTCCATCCACTGGTTCATTCCCCAAATGGCTGCAATGGCCGGAGCTCTGCTGATCTGAAGCCAAGGGCCAGGAACTTCTTCTGAGTCTCCCACAGGGGTGTAAGGGCCCAAGGACTCGGGCCATCTTCTACTGCTTTCCCAGACCATAGCAGAGAGCTGGATCAGAAGTGGAACAGCCGGGCCTCGAACCAGCACCCATATAGATGCCGGCACTGCAGGCTGCAGCTTCACCCACTAAGCCACAGCGCTGGCCCCTGGGATTGTTTTCATAATTTTCTTTTTAGATTGTTGATTGCTAGGTATAGAAATACACTTGTGTGTGTTTGTGTGTGTGTGTGTGTGTGTGTGTTGATTTTGTATCCTGCTACTTTGCCGAATTTATTATTTTTAAGAGTTTTTTGTGGAATATTTAAGGTTTTCTGATTATAAGATCATTGCTTTAGGCCGGCGCCACGGCTCACTAGGCTAATCCTCCGCCTTGCGGCGCCGGCACACCGGGTTCTAGTCCCGGTCAGGGCGCCGGATTCTGTCCTGGTTACCCCTCTTCCAGGCCAGCTCTCTGCTGTGGCCAGGGAGTGCAGTGGAGGATGGCCCAGGTGCTTGGGCCCTGCACCCCATGGGAGACCAGGATAAGTACCTGGCTCCTGCCATCGGATCAGCGTGGTGCGCCGGCTGGAGCGTGCCAGCCGCGGTGGCCATTGGAGGGTGAACCAACGACAAAAAGGAAGACCTTTCTCTCTGTCTCTCTCTCACTGTCCACTCTGCCTGTCAAAAAATAATAATAATATCATTGCTTTATTTCTTTTATTTCACTGTGTGTGCTTTCTATTTCTTACCTAATTATTCTAGTTAAGACTTACAGTACCATGTTGTACAAAGAGTGGGTACTCCAAGTCTCTGATCTTAAGAGGAACTTTCTCAGTCTTTCCACATGAATTATGTTTACTGTGGGTTTTCATGTATAGTTTTGGTTATGTTGAAGTAGCTTCCTCTATTCCCAGTTGTTTGAGTGTTTTTATCATGAGGTGTTGACTTTTGTTAAATGTTTTTCCTGCATCAGTTGAAATGGTCATGTGGTTTTCCCCCCTTCATTCTATTAATGTGATGTTTCTGTGGGCAGTTTTTTTTTTTTTTTTTTTTTTTTTTTTTTTTTTTTTAAGAAAATGTGTATATCTGAGAAGCAGAGGCATAGAAAGGGACAGAGAGCTCCCTTCTGTTTGTTCACTCCCCCAAATGCCTGTAACAGCCAGGGCTGGACCAGGCTGAAGCCAGGATCTAGGAACTCAGTTGAGGTTGTAGGTGGTGGGGACCCAATTGCATGAGCCCTCACTGCTGCCTCCCAGGCTCTGCATTAGCAGGAGCAGAGCAAGATAATGAACCCAGGCACTCGATCCCGGGATGCAGATATCTGAACTGCTAGGCCAGGTGCGCACCCCTCAGTGGACAAACTGTGTATGCCTGAACTATCATAAATCTCACTTCATCGCAGCATATAGTCTCGTTATTGTGCTGTTGAGTTAAATTTGCTGGTATTTTTTGGAGCTTTTTGAATCAGAATACGTAAGGACTGTCTGTGGTGTCCTGTTGTGGTCTCCCTGGCATGGGGGCGGTGAGTTAGTATCCTCTTCCAGTCTTTTGCAGGGGTCTGAGGAGAGCTGGTGCCGGCTCTCCTTTTCACCTTTGGTGGAATTCCCCAGTGAAGCCATCAGGTGCAGGGCTTTGCTTTCTCAGGGAGCATTTGATGCCTAATTCTGTCTCCTTACTAATTAGTACTTTTCTTTTGAGACAAATACAGATTTTATTTTCCTTAAGCCATTTCAGTCTTACATTATGGCCAGCTAGCAGAGGAGGGGTACTATGGAGGAAGAAGGGGAATGTCGTGGGAGGGAAATGGAAGGGGGGCAGTAGCAGGTGCCTCACCTATGTCCCCAAGTCATCCCTCTAGAGGACAGCCCTGAGGGCTCCACCTTGCGCCTTGTCTTGTCCTGTATCTGTGGTTCCAAATGGCTGGACTTGGCCACACGCGAGGTCCTTATGAGTCTGACCACCCAGCTTCCTTGCAATTTCATTGTTGTCTTGAACAAGATTTGTGGGACAGCCGTAGAGAAAGCTGTCCGGCAGCTACAGATCCTCCTGGGGCCACCGCCTGCTTCCGCCCTGACCGCTGACTGACCTGTGCATCCCACCTGTGGGAGGGCATCAGCTGGCAGCCTGGGGGTGACTGTCCCCGGTTTGAGTTTCCTACCCTGCCCTCTGGCTCGGTGGCAGGGTGTGTTTGCCAGTGCCAAGGGTCCAGCAAACGCGGCTGGCTCCAGGAGGCCTGTGCTGCTGGGGACTGTGCTGCATGTAGTAGGCCAGGGACCTTGTAGACATTGTGACCCCAGGGACAGTGTCCCATCTTACAGGTGAAGACCTGACTGTCACACCCGAGGTTCCCCCTTATAACTAGGACTGAAGAAGAGCTGGGTGGCCCTGCGAGGTAATTCTTTTTTCCTTTTTAACTTTTATTTATTTTCATTTTATTTGAAATGCAGAGAGAGAAAGAAAGATGTAAGCATGCACCTGTCTGCTGGTTCACTGCCCAGATGCCCACAGCAGCCAGGACTGGGCCAGGCTGAAGCCAGGAGCCTGGAACTCAGTCCAGGTCTCCCATGTGTGTGGCAGGGATGCAAGCACCCGAGCCCTCACCTGCTGCCCCCAGAGTGCACATGAGCAGGGAGCTGGAAGAGAAGCGCAAGATATGGGTACAAGCGCCCCAAGTGGTGACTTAAGCCCCTGTGCCAAATGCCTGCCCTGTGAGGTTGTTGTTTGTCTTTATCCTGGGATCTAGTACACAGAGGATTCTCTGGAGCAAGGGCAGTGCTACTCTCCCTGGAAAACAGCACCCTGGTTGGTGCAGTCTCTGGGCAACACTGCAACCAAAGCCTGGGCCTGACTGCTTCTGCTAAGGCCCCTGGCCCATGTCGGCTCTGTTCCGACCCAGGGTGCCCAGGATCTCGGAGCTGCTGAGCTTCTAGCTGCCAGCCTCTGTGGCCCTGGCCACGCCCTGCCTGGGGAGCACACAGGATTGTGGGGTCTGGTTGAGGCCTTGTCTCTGAGCCTGTCCAGACTCCAGCCATTCCTCAGTGCAGCCAAGGTCTCTCCACTTGCGGCACTCCAGAGGATGCCCAACTTGCCCTGTAGAGGCCAAGTCCTGCCCTAGCCTTGGGACCCTCCTCAGCCTGGGCCCCAGCCCCTTGCTGCCCTCACCTCCTCCCCTTATCTTCACCCTGGACCTAGCTGGGAGCCACACTTGGCTCCTCAGGCCTTCTCACTCTGTGCCCCTCACAGGCAGCTCCAGGACTGCTTCCTGGGCTCACTCAGTTCTTCCTAAGGCCTCCTGACCACAGAGGCTGGGCCCAACTTCCTGCCCCTCCCTGGCTTCCTTGCCCAGGCTCAGTGAAGTCTGAATGCCCTGTGCCCGTTGACATGCCTTGCTTAGTTTCTGAATGTTTGTCTGTCTGTGCCTCTCCTTGGTAGGTTCACAGTCTTGCTTTTGAATAAATGAATGCCCTAGTGACCAAATGGCAGTGGACAGGCAGCAGAGCCCGCAAGCCTGGGCAGGGATGGCTGCTGGGGATTGGCCACACACCGTGGGCCTGTTGGGTCCTGCCTGGAGTGTTCCTAGGGGCTGCCTGCTACTGCATGTTCTTCCTGGGCCCAGCACCCACGTGGTTGGCCTGGCATATGGTTCCAGGTGGGACGGGGTAGCATCTCTGAGTCTGTTCCAAAAACCCAGCTTAATCCCCAAGTGTGAGTGTGCACAGGGACAGGAGGGCCTTGGGAGTCTGCTGCAGGCCGCCGTGCCCAGCTGTGTGCCCTGCACAGACACCATTCCTCTGCCCCTCAGCCTCCTCTTCTGCCCTGGAGCTGTGGGCGCCATTCATTGTGGCCTGAAACAAAGGCCCTGGGGCTATGCTCAGGATGCCCGGTTTGAGATGGGAAAGAAGTAGACAAAGGACTAAGATCTGTGAAGAAAACAGGTGGACAGTGGGGAGAGGGCTGGTGGGGAGCAGAAGTCTCAGGACTTGGCACCCCAGCCACAGCCAGGAGACTGAAAAGAGGCTGCATATGCCCAGGTGAAGGGAAGAACATTCCGGTAAGCGGAAACTGATGCAAAAGGCTCAGCCGCACAGGACTTCCTGGATGCCGGCAGGAGTTGGATGCTTTGACTTCTCAGAAGGGCAGCAGAAGTCCCCAGGAGGGTTGGGCTATGAGAGCAGTGGCTAGTTCACCATGAGGCTGCCCACCTGCCACCGTGATCTTCGTCTTGCTAGAGACAAGAGTGAGTGGGCAGGTACTCCATGACCTGCTCACCCAGCAGAACACTGGACAGCAGGGGAGGAGCTCACAGATGTGATGCTGAGGGAGTGAAGTCAGTCCCAAGGGGTCCCTCCTGCGTGATCCAGTGATGACCAGTTTCAGAACAGGCACAACTGACCAGGGAGTGGGGAATCAAGGGACATGGGTGTGGGTGGGAGCTCCTGGGTGCCAGCTTCCCACGGACCCACTTCCCAGGTATTCCCCAGGTGTACATGCAGCGCCTGGGCCTCTCTGTCACCTGCCCACAGGGGTCTACTTGCATGCTGCTCTCCCCCTTGGGTCTGGCCTGTCACCTGGCCAGGTTGGCACACGGTGGGGGTACATCTGGGAGCATGCTTGGTGAAATGATTTTGAGAGGGACGTAGACAGTGGACCAAGATAGGGGTTCATGGATGTCTCTGGTGAGGGACACTTGAACTGAGCCCTGCCTGTTAAAGTCACACAACGGTGGCAAGCAGCAGGAAAGAAGGCCCCAGCCAGCATGGGGGATGGGGATGGAGATGAGGTGGACCCAGGTACCCTCAGGGCCTCCCCAAGCATGACTGCCCAGCTCTTACCTAGAGCCCCTCACAGCAGTCAGCAGGTTTATGGGGTCAGCCGTTTGCAGATAGAAAGTTGGAAGGGCAAGGATCAGCTCCAGTTCTCAACTCTTTGAGTTGTGGGTAGGCTCCACCCTGGGTCTGGGGCTCCAGCGTGGTCTGTCACACCTCCCAGCCACCTCCCTGGGCTGGGGGCGGTGCTGCCTGCTCTGACTTCTCTTCTGGTCCCTGCCATAGCTGAACATCCACGTGGGAAACATCTCCCTGGTGGACCAGTTTGAGTGGGACATGTCGGAGAAGGAGAACTCGCCAGAGAAGTTTGCCCTGAAGCTGTGCTCGGAGCTGGGGCTAGGCGGGGAGTTTGTCACCACCATCGCATACAGCATCCGGGGACAGCTGAGCTGGCATCAGAAGACCTACGCCTTCAGGTAGGATCGGGCACAAGCTTCTCTCTCCCTCTCCTGCAAAACCGTTTTGGGGAAAGACTTCTCCAGAAGCGCTGACACCTTGGGACTTTGCCTCGATTCACAGTGTAGGCGGACTCTAGTCTTGGCAGGGCTCCCCCGGCACAGCCACAGAGGTCAGGGATGGGAAGTGCTGAGGGTGCAGACTCGGTGCCCAGTCAGTGTGGCCTTGAAGTTCCCACCCCTTGCAGCCCCTGTCCCAAGTGCTAACTCTGAGCTGCCAAATACAGGCCAGGCCATCCCCAGTCACGAGTGTCAGGAAGGGAGGCAGCTCACCCTGTCCCTGCCTCCAGTGTCAGGCTGGATGCACAGTGGCCATGTGACCAGAACACTCCAGCTCAGGGGCCTGTGGGTCAGGGGAGGCCTTCCGATCCCAGGGAGCTCAGTGAGTGGGGAATGAGAGTGGTTTTTGTCCTCCTCCAGGGCTGCAGGAGCAGGGAGGGGCCTGTGGCATGGACCCCTGGCTCAGAGCGCCTTTCTTGTTGGGAGTGCCTGGGGTGGGGGACGAACGTCAGAACGGGATCTTGGAGTTGAGTCTGCTCAGTTGACTCCTCAGGGGCACCATCCGACAACACAGGGGCTCATCTCAGCTGTTTTCCAGATGTCTGTCTCAGGGCTTCCCGTAAGTCTGAGTGAGGGAGCAGGAACGGAGGCACACCCACCACCCCATGCTAGGCCCCGGGCCTGGAAAGCAGCTGAGCCCCTCGGGGCGCAGTGCCTGGGCACATCCGTCACATCCGTCACCTGCACTGACCCCTCCTGCAGCTGTGCGGGCGAGTGGTTCTGCTTCACCAGGGGCCAGCCCAACGAGCTGAGGAAGCCCACCTATGGGTGCAGCTGGTCAGAGTCTGGGCTGGCTCTGAGGTCCTGGAGGCGGCGACGTCACGCGGGCCCTGGGAGTGACGTCAGTGCCCAGCAAGCACCTCCTCTGCCTGGTGCTAGATGCTGTGAGAGGCGACCTTCTCCTGGGTCTGCAGCAGCTGCCCCGCCACAGTCAGGACTCAGGAGGCAAAGGCCCCGCGGCCTCTTGATCCCAAGCTCCCTGGGATCGGAAGGCCTCCCCTGACCCACAGGCCCCTGAGCTGGAGTGTTCTGGTCACATGGCCACTGTGCATCCAGCCTGACACTGGAGGCAGGGACAGGGTGAGCTGCCTCCCTTCCTGACACTCGTGACTGGGGATGGCCTGGCCTATATTTGGCAGCTGAGTCAGCACTCGGGACAGGTGGTCCTGGCGTCCACCAGCACTCAGCTACTTTCTGCTGTGGCCCCCGGGCGACCCGAGCCATTGGCCTAAATTCCTTGCCAAGCTCCTGTCCATCTGCTCTTCGCAGAGTGGCTCCACAGCAGGCTCCCTTGGGAGTCCCTGGTGGTGGCAGGTTGGGACTTACAGTCAGGCCCATCCTTTATCTCAGTGACCATTTAATGAATTCCAGCTGCGGGGGCTGGAAGCAGCACAGACTCCTGTCCCTCTGCGGTCTCCAGTGCTGAGTTTGCAGGTTTCAAATCCTTGGCCTAAAAGGCCAGGCCACCCTCTTGGGGCCCAGGGCGAGTGCACGTGCCCTGCATCACAGCCAGGCAGGACAGGGACCTGCCCGTGGGCCTGCAAGGTGCTCCCAGTGCCTCCTCTCGCCTCAGGAGGGCTGGCCTGGGTCCTCGCAGTCAACCAAGCACAGGGCCCAGCCTGTTCTGTGTGCTGTGTCTGGGCAGCCAGGAAACTGCCCACGCTTGAAGGGAGCTGGCAATCACAGCCTGGGGACCCTAGGATTGATTGAAGGCCAGCTCATGCTAGACTTCACATTCCAGGGGCAGAACTGGGACCCACTGCAGTGTCCCCTAACCCTGGCCTACACTGTACTGCCCCACCCTGTGGGACTTAGAGCAAGGGACCTCTTAACTGTTTGCCAGGGGAGATCACTGTCAGCCTTCTCTCTACCCTTTAGGTCCTGCCTAGAGGAATGAGAAGGGGGTGCTGAGCCCCCAGGGCCAGGCACTCTCAGCAGGACCAGAGTGTGGCACCTGCTGACTCTTGTCTTTGAGAGCAGTGTTACATTCAGGATCTCTGCCACGCTGCCTTGAAAGTGCTCTGAACAACCACACTCGAGTTGTGCCTGTCTTGCTCTAGCCTACTGCCTGGCTGTCATCCCCCTCCTTGGTGACAGGGGCCTTGGATTGTGTGAGAAGTGCGGCAGGGCAAGCTGCTGGTCACAGGATGTGACCACAGCAGGGCCACAATGGCCTCAGGTCAGGGGAGCCAGCACAGAGAAGCGGGCACGCTGTTCAGCAGGACGATGGGCTGACCTATGCGGGCGGAAGCGGGAAGCATGATAGGGGACCGGGAGTGGGACAGACTGGTGGAGGGGGCCCAGGCTCCTTGAGGTCCAAGCTGGACCAGAGCAGTACATGTAGATGTCCTGAACCAGTGGAATGGGGCAAAGGAGCCCTGGCAGGAGGGGCAGGGCCTCGGTGGGCCTGGGCTGGGCAGAGCGTGTGACTCTTACTCTACGTGTGAGGAGGGTTGATCCAGCAGAGTTCTTGGCACCTTGTCCAGGGCCATCCCTATGCCACAGGTCAAGTACCAGAGGACATAGCACCCAGTCTGGTAGAGGAGGCAAACACATATCCCCACACCCGCAGCCCCAGCTGCCTCCCTCTGCTGCCTTCTGTGGTCACAGGACACTGATGGCCATGCACGGCACCACAGAAGGCAGCAGAGGGAGGCAGCTGGGGCCGCGGGTGTGGGGATATGTAGAACCCGGGGCGAGACTGGCCAGGGCCGAGAGTGCTAAGACAGGACAGGTGCTCAGGGAAGGAAGGCGGGCACTGCCCCCATCCCAGCACTGTCTGAGCATGTGCCTGCCCCGGGGCTTCTGCAGGGATCACGTCCTGGGTGGGAGTGAGAGTGCCCTAGGGTTAGAGAGCTTGGCAGCCGGGCCTGCGGTATCCCTCCCATGGTGCACTGTCGGGGATGGGTGGGGACACTGGACTGCGTGTGTGTGTGTGTGTGTGTGTGTGTGTGTGTGTGAGAGAGAGAGAGAGAGAGAGCGAGCGCCCCAGGGCTTCCTCCTAAAGCCCTGCCCTCCAGCCTTGGCCTGAGGTCAGCTTTTGTTTGTTTCTGTAACAGCCTTACTGAGATGGAATTCACAAACCATACAGCTCACCCATTTGAAGTGTACCACTCTGGGAGCTGGCATTGTGGTGTAGCTGGTTAACACTGCCTGCTATGCTGACAGCCCAAATAAGCACATGCTCCTCTTCCAATCAGCTCCCTGCTAATGCACCTGGAAAAGTAGCAGAAGGTGGCCCAAACACGTGGGCCCCTGCCACACACAAAGGTGGAGTTCTAGGCTCCTGGCTTTGGCCTGGCCCAGCTGCAGCCATCGAAGCCATTTGGGAAGTGAACCATTGGATGCAAGCTCTCTATCTGACTTTCAAATAAAAAGTGTACCACTCTGTTGGAGCTGTGTGACCATTACCAACTATCAGTTTTAGTTTAATTTTTAATTTATTTTTATTTGAAAAGCAAAGAGACAGAGATCTTCCATCCATTGGTTCACTCCCCAAATGCCAGCAACAGTTGGGACTGGGCCAGGTCAAAACTAGGAATGGAATCAGAATGTGTAGTCTTTTCAGATTGACTTCTTTGTGCTTTTAAGGAGCATTCTTTTTTTTTTTTTTAAGATTTATTTATTTGTTTGAGAGGCAGAGAGAGAGAGAGGTCTTCCATCCACTGGTTCACACCACAAATGGCCACAACAGCCAGAGCTGGGCTGATCTAAGGCCAGGAGCTTCTTCTGAGTCTCCCACGTGGGTGCAGGGGTCCAAGGACTTAGTCCATCTTCTGCTGCTTTCCCAGGCCATGGCAGAGAGCTAGATCAGAAGTGGAGCAGCCAGGACTTGGACCAGCGCCTATATGGAATGCCGGCACTGCAGGTGGTGACTTCACCTGCTATGCCATAGAGCCAGCCCCTAGCATCTGTATTATAGCATGTATCAGAACTTTGTTCTTTGTAGTGGCTGAATAGTATTCCACTGTGTGACTAGCCACATTTTATCTACACTTCAGCAGCTGATGGACCTTGGGGCTATTTCCATTTTGTGCCTGTTGAAAATAATGGTGCTGAGAACATTCGTGTATAGGATTTTGTTTGAACACCTGTGTGTGTTCTCTTGGATACATGCCCAGGGGTGGAATTGCTGGATCATAGGCTAACTCTGTGTTCAGAATTTTTTTTTTTTAAGTTTTATTTATTTACTTTGAAAATCAGAGTTATAGAGAGATCTGTCTTCCATCTGCTGATTCCCTTCCCAGATGGCCGCAAATGCCAGGGCTGGACCAGGCTGAAGTCAGAGTCAGGAGTTTCATCTGCATTTCCCACATGGGTGCAGGGGCCCAAACATTTGAGCCGCCTTCTGCTGCTTTTCCCAGGCCATTAGCAGGGAGCTGGATGAGAAGTGTACAGCTATATGGGATGCTGGCATTGCGGGCAGTGTCTTACCTCTCGCTGTACCACAAGGCCAGCCCCCAGAATTTTTTCTAGCCCAGCATGGGAGATGCTGCTGCTTCCCCACCCACTAGACTGGCACTGGCAGGCACTGATTCCACACAGAACGGGGGCAGCGTGTTTTGTCCCCTCTGGGTTGTGTGGCCTTGGGCGGGTCATTTTCCCTGCAAATCTTTTAATTTTTTTTTTTAATTTATTTATTTGAAAGGCAAAGTTAGAGAGAGATCTGCCATCTACTGGTTCACTCCACAAATGGCCACAGTGGCCAGAGCTGGGCTGATCTGAAGCCAGGAGCTTCTTCTGAGTCTCCCACATGGGTACAGGGGCTCAAGGACTTGGACCATCCTCCCCTGCTTTCTTAGGCCATGAGCAGGGAACTGGATTTGAAATGCAGCAGCCGGCACTCGATCCTGCGCCTATGTGGGATGCCAGTGCTGCAGGCAGTGGCTTTACCTGCTATGCCACAGTGCCAGCCCCTTCCCTTGAAATCTTAGCTCTCTCATTTCTAAGGGGGAGTCTTAGTGCTTCTTGCCTTGCATGTTCATCACACAAGGTCATGAACTTGACAGTGACAGTGACCTGAAGATAGCCCGTGAGCTGCAGTCACAGCAGGGGTGCTCTTGCACCCCTAGAATCACTGGGAAATGAGGGCAGCGCCTCTGCCTGAGTGGGCCCCCAAACCTGAGGCCGGCGAGTGCTGGCTGCAGGCCCGTTCTGAGCGTTGTTTTGAGCCATTCTTATTTTAGAACAGGCCGCTGACGTGGAATCTTCCCAGAGTCAAGGGGAGGCAAACAAAGGGGCCTCTGGGCCCTGCTCGCCAGCTCTTGTGTAAATTGCGAGGAAAACATGTTTTGCTCCCCTCTGCGTGGGCTTGGCGCCTCTCATGTCTGCCCTCCTGGGGCAGGCAGCTGGGCGCCCTCAAGGTGGGGAGTAATGTTTGGGGTTTGTGGCTGGGTCGTTCCTGGATTGCCAAACCAGGCTGCGGAGGAGGGGTCAGCCCCAAGGGAGTCAGGGGTGGGCGCTGCCCCGTCCCAGCCTCTGAGTCACCAGCATGAGCTCTGGCTTCTGTGCCTCCTAGGCACAGACCCAGTGGGCTGAGCTTCAGCAGGAAGCGGTCAGGCACACATGTGCAGTAGGCCCTGTGCTCACTGTCCCTGACACCCCCAGGCCACAGAGAGCAGCACAGACCAGGCCAGCCTCTCTGGCTGGGCTGGAACAGGCCCCAGTGTGTTGGTGCCTGCCGGCCAGGTGGTGAAGAGCCGGGCCCTGCCCATAGACCACCTGGTGCGGTGACCTGGGGCACAGGCTGCAGGGAGGCTGTATGGCGAGGCCCCACCTCTAGGGGGCGCCCTCAACAGATGTGTGTGGACTGCGTCAATATAGTGACCCCCAACATTGCTTTGCAGCCATACTTATTATTCCCATATCCCAGATGAAAACCAAGGCAGCAGCCAGGGACCTCTCCCTAGGGCCCTACTACCTTCGCCCCTCCCAAAGCTAACGGGACACCTGGTAGGGCTGCAGTCTACAGGGCAGCCTCCTAGGGGCCCAGGGGAGGCTGCGGTGGGGGGCGCCTGATGAAGCAGGCACCACGAGCCAGGATGCGTGCTTAGCACCTGAAGCTGCTCTGCCTTTCAGACCAGAGCCACCGGGGAGAGGGCACAGGGGCCCTTCAGTGTCCACGGTGGCGTCCACCTCCTTATCCTCCTGTTTCTCAGAAACCAAGGCCCAGAATGGTGACAGCTCAGCCGCACTTCCCCCTGGGTGTGCACTTGGCCAGGGAACGGTCTGTGAGGGACCAGGCAATGTGGTTTCTGGATCCAGCTTTCCTGGGGGTGTAGAGTGGCCCCCGTGGCACTGCTGGGCAAGTGTGTGGGATACCCAGGAGCAGGCATCTGGGGCCAGCACCTCCTCTCACCCCTCCTGTTCTCAGTCAGTGGATCTGGCCCTGGCCACCGAGTGGAGCAGCCGCACCTCCCTGCTCTGTGCTGCTGTGTCGGGACAGCCCTTCCACGCTCAGACAGGGAGGTGCTGAGGTGTGCAGAGTGGTCTCCAAAAGGAAGCCTGCAGGGCCGTACCAGTGCCCCTGTTGCTGCAGGCCACTCTGGCAGCTCCCTTGAGGGTCAGGGGATAGGTGCTACCCTGGCTGCCCCATCAGCTGTGCCAGAATCCCCTGGCCAGCACAGGGGAGGCTGAAGCCAGAAGAGCTAGGCCTTCCCTCCATGGCTGGCTGCCTGCTGGAGGGGTGCGGGGTGATGGTTTCTGGGGACTGTGGCTGCCAGCTGTGAACTAGCAGTTGTTCCTGTCACTGCCCCCCTCCCCCAGCGAGAACCCCCTGCCCACAGTGGAGATTGCCATCCGGAACACAGGCGACGCTGACCAGTGGTGCCCACTGCTGGAGACCTTGACTGACGCCGAGATGGAGAAGAAGATCCGCGACCAGGACAGGAACACGAGGTACCAGCCCCGGCCCTGCCCAGGGGCACCCATCTTCCCAGGCGGAGGCAGGGCTGTCTCCTTTCCCCGTGACCCACACTCTCAGGTCAGACCCAGGCCTCAGGGTCCCTGGAGACATGGGGCTCAGAGAGGGCTGGGGGTGTCCTGCTGGGCGTCCACCCTTGCCAGCTGGGATTGGTCCTGGCTTACCGTGCTCCCCTCCTGCCCCCCCCTCCCCCCGCAGGCGGATGAGGCGTCTGGCCAACACTGCCCCAGCCTGGTGACCCTCCTGTTGGCGCTCAGCTTTCACGAAGCAGCTCAGAAGATTGGACCCCTCCCCTTCCTCTTCTGATCAGGAGAGGGGCAGTGGACAGCCGGTGCCATCTGGAGGAATGGGGCAGGGGCCTGGACCCCCTGGGTCACCCTTCCCAGCCATACCTCGCATCTGCTGAGCCCCAGTCCTGTTTCCCCACTCATTAGCCCCCTACCCCAGTGTCTGGGGCCAGAAAGAAGCCTCGTTTTAGGTTGTGTTTTGTTTTTGTATGAGAGCCCCAGGCAGGGCTAGCAACACTTTTTAAATAAAAGGCAACAGGTCACGTGGTGTTCAGTGCTTCAGAAGGGCAGAGTGGGCAGGGCCGAGGCTGCCGGCCAGGCCATTCCACCTGAACAGCAGGGGTTAGGGGGCTCCCCTGGAAGCCACCTCAGCACCCCACGTGGCCCGAGGCAGAGCCCATCCTTGCTTCTCCTTGGGCCTTCTAACTTCCTCCCCACACCCCGCCCCCATGCCAGCCTTAGGAAGGAGCCTTGGGCTCTCCTAGCTCTGGGCCACCCTGTCTCTGCTCCATCAAGAGAAGCTGGCCAGGGGCACCTGAGTGGCACTGCCGGAACATCAGTGTACCCAGAACTGGCTGATGGGGCCTCTCCAACCCGGCAGGCACTGCGGCCTGGGCCGGCTCCTCTCCCCTGGGTCTGTAGTGAGGAGGACTGGCAGCTGCTGGCTCTTGGGCTTGATGTGCTGTCTGCAGAGACAGCTCTGGGTCTTCTCCTAGCTCTCCCCCAGTGGGGTCCCTCATCCTTGTGTCCTTGTGTGCAAGATGGAAGCATCTGGAGGCAGCGCATGGGTCTCTGCTATGTGCCACTGCCGGCTGCTGACAGGTCCTCCCTCGCCAGGGCAGGGCTGAAGATCAGAGGCGCTCTGGGGCCTGGCATCCAACCTGAGCCCCATCCAGGGCAGGAAAACTGAGTAGGGATGAGGCCAGCATGCAGGCAAGATGGGCCCGGCTCTCAGGGCTGGGGGCTCCTAGGAGCGGGTCCAAGCGCATTCTGGTCCCCAGAGTTTGTACTTGGGCCCCTGCCCTCCATCAGACAGGAACTCACCAGAGTCCCACATCGGGGCACACCCAGCTGGCCTCGGTCACACAGGGGCTCCACTGCTGGGGAGTTCATGAGTGGGAGGCAGCCCTGTGCCCCCACAGCCGTTGTGACAGAGGGAATCCTGCCTGCCTTCCTCTGCCAGCCCGGCAGGCAGGCCCACCCCTTCAGAGCACCGCCAGCCCACACACCGCAGGGCCAGCTGGTGCTCCACAAAGTTTCACTGCAAAACCAAGGTCAGAGTCTGTGCTGCAGGTCCCTGTTACCATGTAGATACCAGGCGTGCTGCTGAGGAGTAAGCCAGGACGTGGGCAGCCTCGAGCAACAGGGAAAGCTGGCCAGGGCGCGTGGCGCACACAACAGAAGGGTGAAGGGAGCTGCAGGCGGCGGCAGCGAGTCCTCAGCCAACGTGGCAGGGCCAGGGCTGCCTGCCTCCTGTCGTATGTGCAGGACTTCAGGTCAAGGCCCTGAGGCCGTAAACAGGAGGACCCAGACCTGGCCCTCCTCTGCACCTGACCCCATGGGGCTCTGTTACCTGCTGGAAATGTGCCAAGGACCCACTTGTCAGGGCTGCTGATGAGGGACGGGAACGGCTGGGCAGGCCCCAACCTGCAGGCTGAATGGGGCCTGCCTGCTGCTGGCCCCAGCCGCCCACTCACAGGCAGGGAGCAGAGGTCCAGGGTGGAAGGAACTTGACAGCGCTCCATCAAGGCACTGCTGGGCCAGGATGAGAACTCCCAGTCTGCTGGGCCCCCACGGGCATCCTACCCCTTCCAGTGAGGCTCAGAGGGCTGGAGGGCAGGGAGAGCCAGTGCCAGGCGCCGAGAGGCTGCAGGTCATTCTGTTTATTTGGGTAGGCCTGGCCTGCTGCAGCAGGGGCTCGGGGTAGGGTGGGGATGGAGGCCTGCCGGTGGGCTCACTGCTGCAGGGGTGGCACAGGGGGTCCTGGCTGTTCCTCAGGGAGGGGCAGGTAATTGGGGTCCTCACGGGTATCCAGCAGCAGCTTCCTGCAGGGAGGACCGGCACTGAGCTGAGGCCAGCACAGGTCCACAGTGGGGTAGGCAGCCCTGGGAGGGAGGGACACTCACAGGAAGCCAGGGGTCAGCAGCAGCCGCTTGCCTCCTGGCTGGTTAGGGAAGACATCCTCCAGGAAGTAGTAGATGTGGCCCACAGCTATCCCTGTGAGAGAGCCATGGGCTGCCTGAGGCCAGCAGAGGCGCCCCAGGCCTCCGTCCACAGCCTGGAGGCCCAGCCAGGATCAGCAGCGTAACCTCAGGCTAGCGCCGTGAGTACCCCAGTGTCCCACACGAACTGCCCGCCCAAAGTGGGGTGCTGGGCAGGGTCGGCCCAGAAGCGGGTAGGCCCCAGAGAGAGTGGGCCTGAGAATGCCAGGGAGCTGGAGCCTTGGAGCAAGAGGCCTAACCCACTGTCCCTCGGCCGCCCAGAGAAGCCAGGAGGGCAGAAGCGGGGCTGGGGAGGCAGGTGGGGGAGTGCCGGGGCAGCTGGCCCAGACGGGCTGTGTGGATGGGCAGGCTCACCCAGCAGGTCGACCAGGATCGAGTTGCCCAGCAACAGCGAGAAGCCCATGAGCGCCCAGGGCAGGAATGGCGCCTGGAAGGTGAGGAGACCAAAGAAGTTGACCCTCACGTGCGGGCTGCGGCGACTCCACACGTACACCAGCATAGCTGTGAGCGCCTGGCCCAGGAAGAACAGGCTGCCTAGGAATCCCAGCAGCTGGGCCAGAGTCAAGGGGCCTGCCCCGTGCAGGCCTCGTCCACGCCCAAGGACCCCCTCGGACCGCCGGAGCAGGTGGAACCCCATCCTTGCTCCTTTTTCCTTCCCCTTCCCCGGGCCCTCCCCACCAGCCATCCCTGCCTCCAATTCCTCCGTGGCTTCAGGTTCCACAACACCTGCCCTGCGCCTGGCTACTCAGAAGGGAGGCTCAGAGACCCCCCGGCTCTCCTGCCCTCACAGCACGGCAGCTCTAACCCAGGCAGCCAGGGCTGAGCACAGGACGGCCGCTCAAGCGCATCCTAGGCTGCAGGGAAGCCCCCTGCCGCGCCCAGGGCCCACGCGCGAAGGATACTGTCATAAGGACTCCCCCGAAGAGAAACATGAAGACGAAGTCGGCCGTGCGGCCGCGGAAGGAGCCCTCCTCCAGCATGCGGCAGTAGCGGAACCTGCGGTGGCCGTATAGGAAGCGCCTTGCTTTCCCGGAGCCCTGGCCCGCGGGCTCGTCCCCCGGCCCCCTCCCGCCATCCGCCCGCGTCGGCGCAGCGCAGGATACACGAAGAGCATGTTGAAGAAGAAGCTGAATCCCAGCGGCCCGAAGAAGAGGAAGTTGGTGACGAGCCTCCAAACCTGCGGCGGGCGGGCGGGGGCGGGGGCGGTCAGGCAGGGCCGCGCGGGGCCCAGCGGCAGGTGCAGGGGGCGGGGCGACCTCACCTGCAGCTTCCGGAACACGAGGTGTGGGTTGAAGTAGAGCTGGAAGGGGCTCAGGAGTTCCAGCTGCTGTAGAGCCGGGCGTGCATTATCAGGGGCCGCCCCCGGGGAGTAGCTTCGGAACCCTGGCGACCCCTCCCAAATCCCCGGCCCGGCCAGGGGCTGTAGCCATGGCGACGCCCCGCCCACCCGCTCACCACGGCGGCGGTGGTAAGGACACAGGCCGCCGTGTAGGCCCGCGTCACCGCCGGCACCTGCAGGAACTCAGCCGTCAGCCCCCGCCACGCCATTGAAGCTTCTTAGGCACACGTGGCCGGCCGGGCTGCGCGCTCTTTAACCTGCCTCCGAGCCCCGCCTCGCTCCCGTCCTCGACCAATCCGCTCCAGGAGCGCAGGCTGGAAGGCGGGTCCCTGAGCTCGGTAGCCAATGGCAAGGAGAAGAGGGATGTCAGGGGCGGGCAGGAGGAGTGGGCGTGTCGAGACCAGTGGCCAATGAGCGGGTCCCACGGTTGAGCACGCGGCTGTTGTTGTGGCTGCGGTGGCGGCGCGGGAGAATCGTGGCCAATGAGGAACCCCGATCGCTTCGCGCGGCCCTGGGGTGTGACCAATAGCGAAGACCCACGGCGCCACGGCGGGGCGGGGGCGGGGCTAAGGGTGCAGAGTGAGGGGAGAAACGACCGGGACGGGGAGGGCTCGCGGGGTAGGGGTGGCGCGCGGCGCGGGCGGAGCCTGGGTGGCCTCGGGGCCGGGCTCCGCTGACCCGCAGCCCAGTTGGCCCCAACGTCGGGGACCCTGGCTTTGGGACCTGCAGTCACTCGGACTGCAGCAGAAGAGAGACCCTTGGTCCGCTGGTTCATTGGTGCATTCCGCGGGGCGCACAAGGGGCAGCGCCTGCGAGGTGACACTTGATCTTAGCCAAAAGGCCGAGAAGAGATGCGAGGTGACATTTGATTGTTATTTTGATTAACTTGAGAGACAGAGCGAGATACAGACAACGGACAGGGGCGGAGGCCGGAGGCCGGGAGTGGGCCAGGACCTCGGCTATTGGAGCCATCCCTGCTGTCCCCGGGGGGCCTCGTCCCCAAGACGCGGGATGCTGGCAGGGGGGTCCTGATTGACAGGAGAACTGCCAGGCCGAGTGCCTGCCCTGACCGTCACTCTTACGAGATCCCTGTGAGAGCTGGCGTGGTGGTGCTCCCGGGCTTCCCGTATTTCCCGTATCCCATATCCACTTCCAGGCCCGGCTGCTCTGCTGGTGAGCTGGCTCCCTGCCAATGCGCCCGGAAAAGCAGCCAAGGATGGGCCCCTGCCATTCATCTGGGAGACCAGAGAGAGCTCTGGGCTCCGGGCTGCCACCTGTGCCAACCCTGGTCATTGCAGTCATCTAGGGAGTGAACAGCTCGCTCACTCACGCTCTCTCTCTCTCTCACTTGGCCTTTGAAATACATACAATTTAAAAGCCCTGGGACGCCAGAACCCGCATGGGACTGTAGAACGATGCATCTGCTATGGCAAGCAGGGAGCCCATTCCTGAGACATTGAAAATAGAAATCTTTTTTTTCCCCCCACAAAGATGTGTTTGTTTATTTGAAAGGCAAAGTTACAGAGAGAGGGGAAAACAGATCTTCCAGGAGCCAGGAACTTCATCCAGGGCTCTCACGTCGGGGTAGGGGCCCAAGGACTTGGGCCACCTTCCGCTGCTTTCCCAGGTGCATTGGCAGGGAGCTGGATCGGAAGTGGAACAGCCGGGACTCGAACCAGGGTTCCTATGAGAAGCTGCACTG